CAGTGAGTGATGCCATGGGTTAGGGTGGTCTCTTCACCCCAGTGTTTGTGGGGCTGATCCCTGCTGTGTCTGGGTCATGGGTGCCCAGGCAGCACAGTCCCCGGTCTGGCCTGGCTGCCTCAGCATATCTCCCAGCTGCCAGAGTCTGAAGCTATCGCAGCAACGAGGACTATAGACAACCCCTATGCTGTCATGATAGCTTTGCAAGGTTGTTTAAGCCAGATCAGTTATGTGGGGCCTCAAGGTTTGCCAGTAAGTTGCTGTGCCTGGAGTTCCCAGTCCTTCAGTAAGAGAGGCTTCAGAAAGCCAGATTATGATCTTCACCCCAGGTGTGCCAGACCTTCCTCTTCAGGCATTCCTGCCTATTTCAGTGGAGCTGTGTCGCAAGGGGCTGTTGGAGATGAGCAAGGGGATAGGAGTCTGACTTCTTGGATCCATGCAGGACATTCCAACATACCTTTGGATGCTCCCGGCAGATAGGATTGCGTCCTCTGTTCCTGTTATTGTTGTTGGGACCAGTTTGTTGTTTGGGTTCTTGGGTATGTTGTGGAGGGCTTTTGCTCCTGAACTTTTGTGAGCTTCACCTGAGAGGGCAGATACTTGCCTGTTGTTTGTCATCTTTGCTCACATGTGTTGGCCCGTGAATTCTATTTTCAGAGCGCAAATTAAACATGCCAGGAGGGAGTGGGAAATCATGTAAACAGCTGTCCTGGAGGTACAGTGCCATACTTGTGTTCTGTGGTGGCCAAGTGCCTGCACTGTCTTAACTCTTCCATTCCCTATAGCCTTCATGTGTGTAAACACTGTGGCCTTGGAGCATTATCCAGCAGCCCTCAGAGTTCTTGCTGGGAATTGGCATCTTCCTTTTCGTTCTCCTTGAGCTTCCCAACTACCCTGTGCATAGCCCAGTCCTGGATGGAGTCCCCAGTCTCATTTCTTAGCTCGATCTCGCCTTTTTCATGGATATTTGAGCTTTTCTGTTTCTTTCTTGTGGTTTTATTGGGAAGGGTCATGCTGTGATTGCAATGTAAGGGTGCATTTGTGGCCAAGTGGGGTCTTACCCTGCCAGATCACAGAATGGTTTGGCTTGAAAGGGACCTCAAAGATCATCCAGTTCTAACCCCCCTGCCCCAGGCAGGGACACCTTCCACTAGAGCAGGTTGCTCCAAGCCCCATCCAGCCTTGCCTTGAACGCTGCCAGGGATGGGGCACCCTGTGCCAGAGCCTCGGCACCCTCATAGTAAAGAATTTCTTCCTTATATCTAGTCCAAATCTACCATCTTTCAGTTTAAACCTGTTCCCCCTTGCCCTGTCCCTGTGGGCCCTTGTGAAAAGCCCCTCTCCAGACTTCTTGTCAGCCCCTTTAGGCACTGGAGGTGCTTTAAGGTCTCCCCTTATGGAGCTTTCTCTTTTCCAGGCTGAACAGGCCCAGCTCTTTCAGCCTGGCTTCATAGCAGGGGTGTTGCAGCCCTCTTGTTGGGATATTTGGATTGGGGCTTGATCCCAGGACTCCTGAAGGAACGAGTGTTGGGGAGCTCCCAGGAGGATTCCCCTGCACCACCTCCGAGCCTCACACCAGCATGCAGGTGGCTTTCTCATGTCTCTCCCGTCTGACCCAAGTTTGGGTGAGTGAGGTTTCTGCTTCTGCTTGCATCACTTTCCCTGAGCAGTGACGCACATGTGTGCTCTTTTTTGCCACGTAAGTGGGTGGTTTATGTGCTGGGAGGGAATGATTCATGAATTAGCTGGAACCTGGGCCTTTTCTCTGTTGCCCTAATGATGTGTGGAGTCAGTATCCTTCTTTCTTCCTGGCCTTCAAGAGGGCAGCTCATAGTTACGTTTTCATGCTATAGCTGTGGGTTAATCCTGTAGCTACAGTAGGGGCAACTGCAGAGAGTTAATGGCCTGCAATATGAAAATACTGCTTTTAGCAGATTTCTGTCATTTGATTCCAATTTCTGGAGGCTCTTGCAACCAGGATGAGTAAGCACAGAACAACTATCTTGGACACGGGTGTCCTGGGAAGGAGAGCAAGCAAGCGTAGATGTCTTCTGACTGTGGCAGGGGGGAGAAACTGTGTGGGGCAGTCCCTCCTTGTGCTTGTACTAGGCTGGCTACACTAACAACGTGACCTGAGGGTGTGCTGAGTGAGGAAAGGCTGGGAGGGAAACTGAGGTGCAGGAAGCCACGGGGGAAATACTTAACAAGCAAATTGTTTGTTTGCTTTGGACGATAATGGGTGAGCAAGAAAGTCCTTTGAAAGCCACTGGGCAGCCTGATTCCTCCCCTTGTTTTCTGATGTGAGAAAGCTCTTGTGTGGTATGGTATGTAATGAAGGATGCTGTCTCTCTGCAGAGAAACTGAGCATGGCAGTCAGGAGTGAGTGGAAGCATCTGCAGCATGGGGGGGAAAGCCATTCTCTACTCCTATCATCAGTTATTAGAAACCTTGAGCATCCCATGGTTAATGAAACCAGCTTGTCTCATCAGCCGCACTTCAAAATTACATCTACAGAGTTTAGCAAAACCAAGTATTCTTCTTTGTGGCTGGAGTGGTGTTATGAGACCTTGTCTTATATAGCCCGTTTTTACTGCATGAGTTGTGGCATGTCTTTGGCCTTGGTAACCCAGGTGTTGTATTTAAATGAGGAGGGATTGGATCTTGTTCTGTCCAGGTTGGTTCTAATGTGAAAATTGTGGGCTCCAGATTTAGAGCAGAGCTTGAATGTTCATGGGTCAGGTTAAATTTTCCAAGCTGCAATAGGGGTTTCCTGCAAATCTTGCCATCTAGGTTTTGTTCTGTTTGGTTTGGTTTTGTTCCTACTCTTTTATCTCCTCAGTAGAATTAGAAACTGAGAAGATTGGGAGGGCATGGGGCATTTTCTCTTGTACCTTCTCAGACAGCTGTATGAGGGGACTTCTTTTTTACATGGATGTAGTATGACTTTCTCAGCAAAGAGAGAAGTAAGGTGTTAGAGTCACCTTGTAATACCTGCTCCATTAGATTCAAGCTTGGGTGGGTTGGTGCCTACTCCAGCAATGCCCCTGAAGTCATTATCGAAGTTGGATCCTGCTGTTATGTCCTGAAGTGTGTGTAGGTCTCCTCATGTGCATGCCTCCTGTAACAGATGCAGTGTTAGAAAATATCCACCTCAGGCAAAATCATTGTGAAAGAGGTCGCTGAGGGCAGACCATGGATCTTGAGGAGATACTATAAGCATTTATGAGGCCCTTTGCCCTGTTAGCACACCCTCTGGTGAGCACCTATCTGATCCCTGTGCATATGCCAAGCTTCACGTGTTTTGCAGCGTGAGGGCCCTACTGATGTGTAGTGTGCACATTCCTGCTTTGGATGATGATGTTGAATGCTCAGCCTCACTTGGGCCCAGCAAACATTGTACTGAAACTTTACTCTTGGCATTCAGCACACACCCTGGATATTTTCCCTTATTCCTAATTTATGAAGGCACCCATGGTTTCAATGCTAGAAGCTTTTGAAGGCAGTCTAACTCTTCTAGAAATGGTGATCTTGCTCAGAGTACATTGCTATGTATTAGTACTCTTCTTCTATCTTATGCAGAATGAGACCAGTCATGATTGGAACAGTTTCTAGTAATGTGATGTTTTCTTCATCATCTTCACACACAAGAGTATATTTATTGAAATACCCTGTTTTGATAGGACTTTGTTGTTGATTTGTTTTTAGTTTATAGGCTCTTTTTTTATATACTGACATTGAAAAAAAGCAGGTTATAAACTGCTTCAATTTTAGGCAGCCTTGAGAAGGGAGAGATGCTGCTGGTGATTTCTGCAAATGAATGTGCAGCCCCAACAGCAAAACCAGCAGGGCTGATCTATTCCACACCCTGTTCTGTGCTCATTCTGTTCGCATTGGTACAATATTGCAGGAGTCTGCCTGAAAAGAAATATATTCTGTGTTGACATAACTAAGATGCAAAACCGCAGCTCATGCAAGTGAAGGACACTTGTATTGGCAGAGCTGCATGGGTTTGATATAGCTGATGGTTTTGAATGGATTCAGGTTCTTCATGTTCTGAAATAAGAATTGTACTTGATAAAAGAACCTTAAAGTCAGTGAAGCACCCTCTTAAAACAGTCCTGTCCCAGATCCATTATAAATGTATCCCTTGTGTATCTTGCATGTTAAATTTAGCTGTATGTCTCTCAGTGGCTTAATATTGCGTGCTTGCTTTGTAAAATGTCTTCCCCTTCATTATTTTCTGCTCTTATGTCTTCTGTGGACTTTCAAGACTGCTGGCTCTATTGGTCACATTATTTTACTCAAGAAGGAACCTATTTTCATAGACAGTGGAGAGCAGACGATTTAATCAGAATATCCTTCTACAGAGGAGGGGTTTCTTGCGAGTAGTAGGATTTTCTCTCCCACTTGGTATCCTTCATGGTCAAGAAAATGTTTTTCCAGAGCAGTGTTGGATTAATTGCTGAGAGAGTTGTATATACAGACACAGCTTGATACCCTGTTATTACCTTGATTTTAATGTGGGGTATAGCCATTGAAACTCTCTGACACTGAAATAACTATGACACATCCACATGTATTGTAATTGTTCCAGCTCTAAAATGGATTGTTATCTCATCCCAGAAGATTTGTCAAGTAAATTAATTTAGATTAAACAAACAAAACTTTTATTTTTAATATTTCCTGAATTCTAGGAGTAATACGATGCTATTTCACATTGAAGCTCTCACCTAAAGCAGATCTTGATCCTGTTACACTCAATGGTGATTCAGGGAATCCAAAGGCTGACCTGTGTAGAATTGGAGCCCTTTGCAGCTGTGGCTGTCCTCTGCTAATTCCCATTTTTAAAGGATCAAATAGATATTAAAGTCTGGTCCATTTATTTAAATCACTTGACATAATGGATTCATTCATTGCTGAGATTTACTCTTGTAAATTCCTCTCTTAAGTCATGAATTGCACTTGAAGAAACGCTTTTTCCTCTCTTCTTTACCTACCAGGAGCAGTTCTGAGCGGAGGAAGGAGAAATCAAGAGATGCAGCAAGATGCAGAAGAAGCAAAGAGACGGAAGTTTTCTATGAACTGGCACATGAACTGCCCCTGCCCCACAACATCAGTTCCCACCTGGACAAGGCATCCATCATGCGCCTGGCAATCAGTTTCCTGCGCACTCACAAGCTGCTGTCTTCAGGTAAGATCTGGCCATAAGAAGTTATTATTGCTAGCTGATGGCAGCCTGGTAAGATTGTGTATGTTTTTCTCTCAGTACAGGGTCCTAAGGTGAGAATAGGACATAACTGCTTGTGTTGTAAGAAAACAACTGGATTTAAAGATAGGTTGGTGGGGTTTTTTTTTCAACAAAATTATGCGTATTTTAATTGGGTTAGAAAATCATAGAATGGTTTGGGTTGGAAGGGACCTTAAAGCTCATCCAGTTCCAACCCCTCTCCCATGGGCAGGGACACCTTCCACTAGACCAAGTTGCTCCAAGCCTTGTCCAGCCTGGCTTTGAACACTGCCAGGTTTCTAAGCTTCTCTGGGCAACCTGTTCCAGGGCCTCATCGCCGTCATAGTAAAGAATTTCTTCCTTATTTCTAATCTAAATCTCTCCTCTGACAGTTTAAAGCCATCCTCCCTGGTCCTGTCACTACATGCTCTTGTAAAAAATCCCTCTCCACATTTCTTGTCAGCCCCTTTAGGTACTGGAAGCTGCCCTAATGTCTCCCCTTAAGGAGCCTTCTCTTTTCCAGGCTGAACCAGCCCACCTTTCTCAGCCTGTCTCCAAGCAGAGGTGCTCCAGCCTTGGAGCATATTCTTGGTCCTCCTCTGGACTCACTCCAGCAGGTCCAAAACATCAGTGATATCAGTCATATAAGATCTTCATTACCAAAATAACAACTAGTGCAGTTTTGTCTCTCTAAAATAAAACCTGTCAAAACTCTTGAATGTGGTTTATTAAGCTCAATTACAGGATTTTAAGCTTTTAAGTTTATTCAGAATTCAAACATATGCCTTAAGCTTCAATGCTGAAACAAGTAAAGTTTGATTTGGTGTGGCAAGCGTGTTTGTGCCAGCACATTCAAAAGGCAGCTGGGAAGTTCTGAAGGTCCAATACTTTCTTTAAAAGAACTAATTGTTCTTGTTATATGCTGGCAATGAGTAGTAGGTGCTTATGACATAAGGTAACTAAAGCAAACAACTTTTAAAGACTCAACGTGAATGGGTACCATGTAATCAGAATCTTGCTCATGTTGGACTAGTAAGAAACATGAACCAGGGAACCAGCATCATTTTCATGTGAAAACTGGCAAAATTAACAATATTCTTATTTTGCACCTGTATTTGAATAATCACTTTGATGGAAATCTATGGTTTGAGTAGCCTGTAAGATCAATGAAAGCAACTGGTGTTTCTGGCAGAACTTTGACACAGTAAGTATCAAGAATACGTTAGCCAAACAATGCCTGCATTGTTTGAGGAAGGTAACCCCCAAATTTCATCTTTTCCTTAATTAATGGCAAAACTCCCAATAAGGTTATGATTGCACTTCCTTTCTTTAGAAAAGTTGAGTCATAACATAACAATTACTGTCATAAGTGTTATTAGGAAGTGTGTCATTTTGTGGACAGCTATGCTGTTGGTTTGTTGCTGGTTAGTCTGTAAGATGTGACAAACTCAATCCTCTTTCTGAGTGCTCCATAGTTTTTGTAGTTTTTTTAGCTTCTGCTAAAACTATTGTATAAAATGTGTGTGTTTCCATCTTAGCTTATAGAATGTGGCTTTTTAACATTTCCTTCTGTGGAAAGAAAAGTTTATTTGCTGAGCAGTGCTTGGAAATCATCTTTGATTTCATCATGTCATTAATACTTGAAGAAGTTGCGTAAAGAGGTGAATGTTGTTGAAAGTGCTGTACACCAAGCCAATGTGTTGTTAACGTTCTCAGAAAAACACAGCTTTGGCTCTTCAAATATTTATATGGTATGAATTAGGGACTGACAAAGCCCAGGAAAAGCAAATTTATGAAGGGCTGTAAAAAAAAAATGTATATAAATGTGTGTATATATACATATACTAGTTTGATGCTGTCATCATTGGGAAAATATAATTGCTCACCTGCAAACTGCTAAGATTAAAGTGAACTTTTCATCTACATGTGTATTAGTGAGGAAAAATATCTACAAATAGAACATTTGTTTTAGTGCTTCTGCAGTGGCTTAGGGTCATATCATTTAATAGTAATGACAACTCAGGATATGTATATAATATGCACATAGTTACATGATTTTTCTGTGGCAGTGATTGAAGAACAATGTGATTCATGTAGCTGATTTATATTTTTTTGGAAGTACCACCAAAAGTTATTTCCTCAGATGTAAATCTGATGCACTTCCTCAGCCTGAATATTAATGTGGAGTAAGTCCTCTCATTAAAAGTTGTGGAGTTAAACAAATGCAGATTTGTCCATGGGTACATGGGGATGTAGATAAGGGTTTCAAAATCTTCAGCGCTTTTATTCCAAGGAATTGAACTTAAGGTACTTTAAAGGGATTGATTATTCTGGATGATTTTGGTATTATTTGCTCATGAGAATACACAGAGATGAAAGAACTCAAGCCAGAAAACCTCATCTGCTATTTGTGTTTTTCTCATTTAAATTAGATTCCATATCTCTGATTGTGGGCTTCTGAATTATGTTGGCCTTTAAGGACACTGGCTTTCACTACAAGGCTATCTGATTTAATTTAAGGGGATAGGTTTTCAATACAGCTTTAGTCTCACAGATGAAGGTGTTTTGCTGCCCATGCATTTTGAGGAGAGTGTGGAGCAATATGGGAACTCTGCTTGTGTGATGCCTGTCCATGCAATTCTTGCTCTTGCTCCTTTCTAAGCCCCAAGCAAAGCTGCCCCCCATTCCACTTGCAAGTTTAGTAGACTACAATCTGGCCATTAATTCACTGTTGCATTTGAGGAGCCTCATTTGACTGGTGAGGACCACAGGGGGTTACTGTGTCATCTCTGACAGGTGAACTGGGAAATGGGAGGTGGAGGATTGTAATGTGCATGGGAAGCAAATGTCTGCCTCAGCCTGCAGACCCCCTCTTTGCTTTATGTTGTCTTCGTGGAAATGGTTTTGGTTTATTTGGGCTACGTACTTGGTGTAAACTGGAGTTAAGTGGGGGTATTTATCATGTCATTAATTAGGACATTAAAATAACATCTTCTATGTTTGTATGTGTATATGTACAATGTCATTAAATAAGCTTGCAGTACAGCTTGGAAAATGCTTTGAAGAGTAGTAAAGAAAAAGGTTACTCCTTGATTAGCACTTTCCTCATGTGTTATTTACGCTATCAAAACCTACTGGTAAACCAGGTTTTATTTTATAGCACTGTTTGGCCATGATTCTCAAATGTGAGCGCATCTCTTCGTTTCATGGCAGTTTTGCTTGCAGTGGAGAGGGCAAGGCCCTTCCCAGGACTGCATCCTCATCTTTCTGCAAGCTGATGCTCCAGATGGGATTTCAGAGATGGCCGTAGGCAAGGTGCCAGCCTCAGTGCACTGGCATTGAGTGTCTCATGCCCCTTCCTATTATTCCCTGACTCGGAATAGGGCTTTTCAGTTGTGTAGCTCAGGCTGTTTTACTAGCTGTGTCTGCATAATGATTATTTATCTGTCAGGAAGCCAAGACCTAGGGAAATCTATGCCCACATTCTTCCAGCAGGTGAATGGCAGAGCCTGTGAATCTGAGCCTTCATTGAGAGCTCTCCTGCTACGTGCCTCTGAAAATCTCAGCTTCAGGGTTGCAGGGTGCACGTCTCCTGCAGGCATTGCAGGGCCTGAGCTTGGCCCTTGTATCCTATCATAATAGGAAATAGCTGGTTGTATATCTCAGAGTTCAAAAGGGTAAAAAATACCAGGTTTTGCTTTATAAAAGTTGTTGCTTTACTTAGTAACACGTTTCCCTTTGATTTTCACAGTAGGCAATTCTGTGTGGGAATGTTGGAGAGGAAGCCTTTAACATTTAGAAATGCAGGCTGTTCGTCTGACGGCCTGATTGAGATTAGTATCGCAGGAAGCAAACTGAAACAATAGCTTTATAATACTGTTTCCATGTTGTGCACAGAACAGTACATGGTACAATTGGAATGCGAAGTAGAAATATCACTTAATTATGCTCATCTTAAATATTTTTCAAGATGTCCTCTAATTCTGTTGGCATAATACATTTTTGCCATCATGACATTCAAATGTTCGGGATAAATTTAGAACTGATCTTTGTTTCAAGGAAAGGTTTTGATCCCATAAAGTTGCTGCTGAAAATAGGCAGTTTGATGCTTATCGCTAGTGGACCTTTTGAATCTTATGTCCTTTAGTATAGTCAGAAGAGCTGATAGCAGTACTTGTTGCCTGTTAGTCTGTAGTCTAGCTAGTAAATTAGCCTAATGCTTTTTGGGGGGATTAATGGGAAGAGAGAAATAACTGTCTTTTGCTGAAGCTGTCTTAGTTAACAGCTAACATCATGATGGTTGTTAAGGCTGCCTCAGGTAGTCTCTTTTTGTCTGGATATGAGGAAGAGAATTCACTTTACGAAGCCTGTATGGGCATTAGCATGTGGTGCCCATAATTTGAAGCGTTCCTTTGGACCACATTGATGCTGAAGGCATTACAGGAACCAGAACCCTTTGGTACCAGTGAGTTTCTGTGTGCAAGCACTGCAGCCTTTTTTAGTCAAGCTAATCAGGCAAACATAATTTTATCAGCTCTCTTTCATCCATCCCAGTTGTGTGGTCACCAGGGTGTCTTTTCTGTGCAGAGGTCCAGCAAAGGAAACTGGATGGGAGTTGCTCCTGTGCAGGCAGACAGCAGCAGAAATGGGGAGGGAACAGGGAAGCAGACGGGAAGTTGTTTGGGAGAAGGGAGGCCATGAGGAAGCCACTGTGAAGTTGTTTCAAGGGAGGGAGACAACAGAGCCGGAAAGCCAGCAGGGAGCAGAAGGGAAAAAATAGCTTTTCTCCAGGCTTTTAAGGGAGAGGACAAGCTACAGGGAGAAGTGCTGTGGGCATTGTTTTTGAATGTCTGGACAAGCTGCATCTAATCTCAGACCATTGTGGCATAAAACAGTGCTTTAAAAATAGCATGGCTACTTGTTTGCTTTTATTAAATTGGAAAAATAGCTTTGTGCCAACCGTGCTGCCAGGAATGGGAGTGGAGCTGGGTGCTGAGTGCTTCGGCTGCTTAAAGTGATGTCCCTTCTTTGGGAAGCTGTGCCAGAAGTTCCCACAAGGTGCGGGAAGCCTGGTCTGATGGGGTGCTGTGTCTTGCCGTTCAACACCGAAGGCTGCAGGACTCAAAGCAGGTTCCCGGGAGCAGCATCTGAATGATTTGGCTAGATATAAACTCTGCAATTAAAACAACACTAACATAAGTGTTTTCTTTATCAAAGTTGCTTGTGCACTTGGAGATAAGAGCTCTTCAGGAAGCTTCAAGTTTAAGAGTAGCTTTTTCTTGATGTATCTAAACTGAAAGCTGTTATTGAACACATTGAAAATATCCCCTTGAACAGGATGTACTGCCCTGTCAAGACAAGAAGAGAAAGGAAAAAAAAATCAGTCGCTATCCTTTGATGGAAAACAAGGAACCAGGAAGAGACAAGTCTGGCTCAAGGCTGCTCTCTGGGGCAGGATGGAGCTGCTGTTAGATATTCCCTAACTTTTGCCTGCCGGCATCAGGCAGTGTTTACAGCCCTCTGTGGAATGGCAGCCGTAGCCTGGTGTCTTTTATGCACAAAACATAAGGAACTTTCTGGTATTTGTAGGATCCAGGGTGAGAGACAAAGCTATGAGAATACTGCGGATGAGATGATGTGACCTCCAGTAGAAACCTTTTTTATCACTCTTTACCTGTGAACTGACCAGAAGAGGCCCCTTTGAGTCAGATCAAAGGTGTTGAGGGGAGTATAAGCTGTTTGCTAGAGGCTGTTTGTACCTGAGCAGTTATTCCTTGTAAGGAGAGCCTGAGTTTTGAGCCGCCAGGCTCCTTCCAAGAGGTTGGACTGAAGGAAATGAGCAAGCATCTACGGAAAAAGTGTTCTTAAACTTGGGAACAGTGCACATCCTGACAGTGGGAATTAATCAAAGCTTGTTTACAAGAGCTATTTTTAGCATAAAAGGTTATCATAAACACTGCAATAAGCATTTGCCATTGCAGTTCAAAGTTTCTTGATGCTGAATAAATTCCACTTCGGGGGTTAGAAAATTTCTCAAAGTGGAATTTACCAAAAAATACCAAAATTTAATACAGGCAGGGACATGGACTGAAAAATACTGCATCAGAGCTTGATGCAGACTAAGAAATGCTGCCTTGGGGCAGTATGAGTAGCAGGATGACCCATCAGGCTGGGACATGGGCACAGTTGCTCTGTTCTTGGTTCTGCTGTAGCTCTGGCAGTCGCCCCAGGGAGGCCAATGCACTTGTGTGAGGTTCTCTGGCGTGTTTCAGCATCTCCTGAGCTCACCTGGGCGGAGATTCTTCCTCCTTTATAGGCTTCCCAGTACTACATGAGCACAGTCTTGGCCAGGATCCATAAATGTAACTATAACATGAACAGTAATATCACAGCACTTCATTCTGCTGAATGTGCTATTAATATAGAGTTAAACTGGCATATTTGAAGTCCGGTCTCCCTGCTGTGCTGTTATGGTGCCTGCACTGAGATATTCCTATTAATAGAGGAGCGATGGAAAAAGTTGTAGGGAAAAAAAGAAGAAACATGTTTTTATTTCAAAATTTAGTTAGCAGCTATTGGGAAAAGCAGTGCTGACAAAAGTGAAAAATAAAAATGAGGGTAAACAGAATCTACAGTTATCTTCCTTTAAGACCTGGAAAATTCCAAGCAGTCTACATGGGGTGCTGTTATCTGCCCTCAGACCTACTGGAAGACTAAAGTTCTGCCCCTACCTCCTCATCCTGACCTGCTTCCGTTTGGTCCCAGCTTTCTCAAATGTTTTCCCTTTGAAGCCAGATTTTCTTGTGCTAGCGCTGCAGTTCAGCTCCGAGGTGAATTAATGAAGAAAATTGAAAGCAGTGAAAGACAATAGGGATTTTTGGGAGCAGCCTGCATTTGTTTTTTATGCCTTTATTTGTTTTTCTTCTGTGAAATAGGTTCTTTCTAAAGCAAACTAGGCTTTTGTGAGTGGCAATGACTGATGCGTATCGGTCTCCTAATGTGCATATATCCTCTATGTATTTAGTAGCTAGTGATTTTCACAGCAAGGGGACAAGCTATAATGCTGTAACTGCAGCCATATAAAAGGTTCTTAGTATAATTATAGTAATATAAATAATAAATAAGTTACCTGACACAGGGCGTTCTAGGGCTGCCATGGTGATGCCCAGCATAGTTCTGTGCTGTGGACTAAAGATCTTGAGGTAGCTAATACGCTTTAAGGGTTTAGCACGGATGATACCTTATGGGACTGAGTTTTTGCAACCACCACAAAGAACCTGGACGCAGCAGAAGCTGTGAGCACTTCTGGTGCATCCCCCAGTGCTTGAGCATCCCTGGGCAGGCTGTGGAGAGATGCCGATGAGGGCCAGGCAGGGAATGGATGGGCAGCAACAGCACAGTGGTCCCTGGAGGTACTTGTCTTCTACCTTCATGTGCCTGATAGTGCCTACAGTTTCCTCAGTGCAGCTGCACTGTAATAATAGAGCATCATCTACGAAGTACTACAAGAAACCTTATCTGCCAGCTCCCATTGCCTGATGCAGATGGGGATGCTGAAGGGGATGCAGTGGGGTTACCAGTGAAGCTGGAGGGTGTCTGCAAAACCTTGGGTGTTCTTTGGGGTTATGCAAGGGGGGTGCACAGCAGAACAAAACCTCTTCCCTCCCTCCTCCCAGTTCACATTATACATAACTCTAGCTGGACAAAGGTAATCTTAATGGAAACAAGTTGAACTCTGATCCCACAGAACCCTATAACCCTGTGCTTTAAAGCTGGCTGTATCTTTAAGTGCTGTGCTCAGCTAGGACATTAAGGGTTTGAACCTGCAGCCCTGATGTGAGTGATCCTATGTCCTCTGCCTGTATTTGTGTAAGTAATATAATTTATATGCATGGAAAAGCAAACTTTATCATCTGATAATACAAGTAAAGTGTTTGTCTTTCACTGTTGGAGGCATTGAAGAATACAAATGCTTTCAATAGCCTTCCTGCCTTTGAATGGTCATGTTTTGTTAATGCGAGCTTAATGAGCTGGGGGGAAAAATGAAAAGGAGGGTCTGGGGTTAGAGCTGAAAAGTCATTTTTTTTCTTTGAACCCACACTTGGCTGATTGTCTTGGGCTACAGCCATGATCCCTGCTGAATAAACCATTTGTTTGCTTCCGGAAAAGTAAAAAAAGACCCTTGACATTCTTTACACAGCAGAAACAAGCTTGGGAGCAGATGGTCACTTACCTTCTTTTTTTTTCCTCCTTCCCTAAATGTCATTATGGTCAAAGTGCGTACTATTCAGATATATTATTGTGTATTTTCTGCATTTTAAATGCTAGCTCTGATGTAATTTCCTGGAGTCAGTTGCTTTGTACTGAGGAGGAACTGGCTGTTGCGTTTGTAGTTAGAAGTGCAGCGCAGGGACACGAAATGATAAATCCCCAGCCTGTGGTGGCCATCCCCAGAGAGCATCTTCTCTTCCCTGCTAGAAAACAGTTGCATTGAGAAGCAAAAGGTGGTAAAACAAGTGCTCCCAGTGGCGCTGGGGCTGAGTCCATTTCTGCTGCTGGGGAGGAATGTTGAGATGCAGGGTGAGGATGCAGCAGCAGGCAGCATCATTTGTCACTGCTCATCTTTTCCAAACAGCGGCTTGGTGGGTTCTGCACTGCAAGTGCTCATCCCTCTGCATTTACTCACTGCCCATCCTTAAGTACTAGCAGATGGAATTCCAGGAGGTTTCTAGATTGAGCTCACCTTTTAATCATAATTCATTAATACTTCAAAGGAAGAACTGCGTTTGTTTGGCTCAGCCTCTTCCCTACCCCAAAAAATACCAACCCCAAACCACTTCTAATAACGTTTTACAAAACAATACCCCATTCCTTGTTCTAGGCTTCTTCCAAAACAAGTATTTCAACAAGGAACATGAAGGGAAACGATGAACGTATGGCCAAAAGAATGTGCACAAAAGGTTTGCTTCTATATTTAGGTATCTAAGTGTTACGTACTGAAAACAAGTCTTGCAGAAAGACACTAAAGATGAATAGAGGGTCTGTTGTACTTGCCAGAGTTCAGAAAGGTATTTCCTGCCTTGCTAGTGATAAAGGCATCCCTTTTGTACAGTGTTCAGAAGGGGGTTGTCTTGTCTTGGTTGCCTTGTACCTGGACGTGTTTGTGTTGAAAAAGGCTGGCTATGGTGCTGAAGACTTTACATGCTTTTTTTTTTCCCCCCTCAGTATGTGCTGACAACGAGAATGAATTAGAGGCAGACCAGCAGATGGACAACTTGTACCTGAAAGCTTTGGAGGGATTTATTGCCGTGGTGACACAGGATGGAGACATGATCTTTTTGTCAGAGAATGTCAACAAATACATGGGTCTTACCCAGGTAACTTGTTCCGTGACACTTTCCTGTCTTTGTAATGCAATTCCTAGAAACGAGTCCTATGCCTAAATGCAGAAAGCCAGCTGTGTCTCATTGCAAAAAGAGACTGGAAATAGAATGTCTCATTTCTCAGCAGGTACCATGTACACCAGACAACGGTGGGGGGGTGTCCCTCTCCCTTTCTATCAAAGTCATACTGTCATTGGCAACTGCAGACTTGCCTTCCTAGATATTACCATGGAGAGGAGAATGGGAGTTTATTCAACTTCTGCTTTAGACCCTGAGTCATGGGGATTGAGCTGCTCTTTTATGTACCCCCCTTTTCTGCTTTGTGGATTGGGGGGGGGGGTTCTCCTTCTGTGTTGAAAGCAACCAGTGGTGTTGGCTGTTAACTGCACTTGCACATGCAAAGATAAGGAATTGTTCTGGGGAGAAAATGAAGTTATGCATGGGATAAACAAAGGGAGGGTCACAGGATTTGTGTCTGTGAGCATTCTGGTTCTAATGACCAGTTTTATCTGAATACGTGGTATTTAACACGAGGTAAATATCATCAATTGTTTTTATTTGGCTAAGTGTAGTTCTTACTTCTGCACAGGTGGAATTAACTGGACACAGCATTTTTGACTTCACTCATCCGTGTGACCACGAAGAAATTCGAGAGAATCTAAGCCTGAAAAATGGTAATAACAAAAATACAAGAGTCACTGTTTGCTTTTTAAGTAACCAAATGAGGCAACTGGCTAGCAGTAGAGATGTTGGTCATGGTAAAGGGGATTTTCATTCCATTCCTAGAGTAATCATTAACTGTTATTCACTGCTTTGCAGATTTCTTTTGTTTTGATAAGTATTGCTTAAAAATGATAGCACCAAGAACTGTTTGTTCAGTGTTTTCTTTTCATCAAGTTAAGGCAGGCATAACGTTTTCACTTGTAACGCTTGGCAAAGATTTATGTGCTAAACCTAAAGATAGGTTTAAATGCACAAAGTCCTACTGAAGTTCCACTTTAAGTTTTAGGTCTGAGCTCTATAAACTGCTCTTCAATGGTCCATGCATCTTTGATGGTCTCTGCAGGTAAATGATCTGAGAATTAGTCTGTTTTTTCTATTGAATCCTTCCTGCTTGTGAATAGAAGAAATCAAGAAGCAAAACTGAGAAAATCTATTTGCTATTTTCCTTATACAGGTCCAGGCTTTGGGAAGAAAAGCAAAGAGATGTCAACTGAGCGTGACTTCTTCATGAGGATGAAATGCACTGTTACCAACAGAGGCAGAACTGTTAACCTCAAGTCTGCCACATGGAAGGTACCATATTTGAGCCATAATAAGTGGTTTTGATTTGAAAAAACATATTCTCATATGGAGAAAGAACATTCTTAAGTTTGTTTCTCATTCAAAAATCATTATTTCAGGTTTTGCACTGCACTGGACAAGTTAAAGTATATAACACTTGCCCTCCTCACACTCTGTGTGGGTATAAAGAGCCTCTTCTCACCTGCCTTATAATAATGTGTGAGCCTATTCAGCATCCTTCAAACATCGATATCCCCCTGGACAGCAAGACCTTCCTGAGTCGCCACAGCATGGACATGAAATTCACCTACTGTGATGACAGGTAAACTCCACTGACTTTCTGCTTTCCATGTGTTTCCTTTTGCTTTCCATGGGTGTTTCTATGTTTTTGACGAAAATAAGTAGTCCTTCCAAATGTCCTCCTGCGTGGACCTGGTAAGCAAAGAGTAGGAGAAAGGACAGTCTGTTACCAAGGCAGCTATTCAGTGGCTCACTTAATCCATCTCAAATCTCAGTTTAGGCAAAACGGTATTCCTGTTTGTTTCCTTCTCGTGCTGGGTGAAGAATTCAAGTTCACTTGCAGAAGACGAGGCAACTTAAAACCATAAGCATTAGCTTCTTGGGCTTTAGCAAACTGAAGGATACACAGGATTTCTGTTGTTGTTTTTTTAGGGAATGTCTGAAACGACAGCCTTATACAAGGACTGTTTTACAGTTGGTTTGGTCCAGGATGCTGTTAGCGGTTAGCTGGGAAGTACTTTATGCTCTAGATTATCTGAGGATTGCGAAGGCATCCGGAGCATCTGCAGCTCTGGAATGGGCTTGGAGCCTCTTGCTCAATGAAAGCAAACAACCTTTGCTGGTTATCTGCTCCGTTTAGTGGCGAAATGAAGGGGGGAGGAGGAGGATCTTGGATCAAGCAAGGGGCTGTGTGTCTGTACTCCTTGTGGGTTTGGTGTTTGCTGGTTATTTTTTTTTAAGTTTGAGGTCATTTCTGAACGTAGTATGCAGTTTCCATTTAATGAAACTGGTTTCCTGAAGTTCAGAGCTGCTCACAACCACGGAGGTCTGCAGGGTTATCAGTGGGATTATACGTACGCTGCATCTTATGCAAAACCTCACAGGATTGAGATCTTGGTTGGTTTTTTATCCTTCAAAGTTTTGGTTTTTAAACTTGTGGTAAGCAAGATTTATGATTTCAGAGAGTGATGAAGCAATTGTATCAACTAGCAGTGTATAAACTAGCAGTGTTAGCAGCTGTGGATGGAAACAAGATGACAAGTGTGAAGCTTGACTGACCTTCTGGCCTTGTTGAGAATACAGCCACGAGTGTGCTGTAACTAGAAATGCCCTCTGATGTAACTGCAATAAAACAGACTGTTTTTTTCTTGTTAATACTTTAAGGTGAAAGTATTAACACATCCTATATAAATATATAGTATATATTAATATTTACTAATATTTATTAATTGTATATACTGTAATACTAAGCAAATCCCATATAAATAGGATTTGCTGCTGGAGGAAAGGAAAGCAACAATGTGGTAGTAAGTTGTTATTAAAGGCAGTGTACCTCTGAATTATTAGGGCTATTCAATGGCAGGCTAGAGGATTTTGTTGCATGGCAGCATTCACATGCATAAGCAATTATAAATGAGAATTAGAGGAACTGAGGCTATCCCATTAAAGATACACGTGCTTATTTTAAGAAGAATGACATATTATGCCCTGGCTTAAATAGTGGGAGTTGATTTACAGGGAAAGCGTTTCACATGGTGGAGATACACAACAGCTTCCTCTGGAGGATTTAGCTTGAAGGGAATTTCAGAGATTCTTCTTTAAAAGCAGGCATCAGAGCAGTACATCTTTGACTAAATAGTTTTGGTTGGATGGTTGGTTCATGTTTTATTGAGATTATGATAAAGCTGTAAACAGCCAGCCAGACTGGAGAAGGAAGAGACCTCAGAAACCTTCCAGGTTCTTCCCAGCAGATCCTCCTGGCTCTTGCTTCCCTCCCAGAGGGATGTTGATTTCTCTCCAAAATGTGACACATCAGCAGACACATAAAAATGCAAACACTCAGCTGTTATTATCAAGTTTGGTGCTGCTAGACAGATTGCATCGAAGGAGCAGTTAGTGCCAAGAACGTAAGTCCAGGCTGAGGAGAAGCAGCATGTGCCAGTCAGATGCCTAAACCCTTTTTGACATACTCTAGCCTTTCCGCAGCGAGACGGCAGGGCTGTCACAGCTTGGTTCTTCACGAGGGACTGTGTCTTTCCAGTTCAAAGCTCATATCGTTTGGGGCTGTGTGCCTTCGCTACACGGCTTCTGCAGCAATCTGAGTGTCCTCTTTGCAGTTCATCTGGTGTGGACAGGTCTGCTTCCAAGGGGCATTAAGTTCTTATTGCTGAAGCATTCAGGTAAAGAAACTTTAGGATTTCTGAGGAAGTACCTTAACAAATGGCAGCCATATGAGATCTTGCTAATGGAAGCACCCGCTTTCAGTGTGAAGCTGAAGTTGGGTACAAAGGAGAGCTGCCCTTGTACATGAAGCTGAAATTTATCCTTGCAGAAAATGAGGATCCCATCTGTCATCTCTTTAGGAAAGCTCAGTAGTCTGTCACAGTGCAAGATGCAAAATATAAGCTGGCTACCTTTCAACACTTCATAAGGGAAGCTAGTTGGCTGGCATGAAGGGCCTTGATTCCCTTGGCTTTGCCTCAGGAGCATGCAGAACAGATTCGACATGGAGTGGGCAAGTCTGGCATCCCTCATTTTAAATGTGCAAGACGTTACCACCATATATTTTGCCTTCCAGAAATAACTGGTATATGGGGGCCCATGACTTGCCAGTGGTTAGGTAGGATATGCTTGTATTCTTAAAACAGCTTTTGCAAGGCGATGAGCCTGTAAAGAAGGGTTTGTGAGGTATAAACAATGAAAATAGGTTGCTCTGTTAAATGCATGCTTCATCCATTACTGGAGAGTGGTTTAAAAATGTTCCCTTGTTCCACTTATCTTGGCTGAGTGGTTTACAGGATTATTTTAGCTGTAATACAGAAGTGCTGATCAGTGGTACAGTGCAGTAATCCAAGTGAGGGTTTAGTTTAGCTGCACAATGCTTTTGTGTTGGGAAATATCACCAGTGAGGGTGTTCTAGTCAGAAAAAAAGGCAAGTATTTGTATGAAGGCAACTTTGTTAACTGGGTGGCATAGCTCATTCTATGGGGTCATGGGGCTGATGAGTAGATAGAAACAGTGGCTCTAGGGTCCTGTGGTGGAAAAATCCACAAAACAAAAGCGAAAACTGTATATGAATTGGATAGAAAGCCCCAAAACTACTTCAGCATATTAAGTCTTGGCCTTCATGGTTCATACATAACAAAACAAACCCATATGTGGTGTTTTGTAGGGGACCAGTGTATTGAAAAAACAGTGAAGGGAACATGCCATTGTAGGTGACAGTGACTTTTCACCTTCATCCCTGTGACCTCTTAGGGAGGGTGGGGAAAGGAGAGGGATTTGCTCTTTGCTCACAATTGCTGTGGGTAGCATGAATCAGGTGAGGGAAGGATAAGGGAACAAATCTGTTCTGCATGGGGGAAGATGTGCAGGCGGCAGCTCTGGAGGCTGCGTCACATACCAGCACGCTGGCACCGGCACACTGAGAAGCGTATGTTCCCCATTACTTTGAAGGCATGACTTGCTTTGGGGAATTGTATGTTCCTGGTTACAAGAAGCCAAATTAGTTATACTCTTTATTGTTTTTTCTTGAGTGGAACTTTTTAATGGAAGAGATGAAGCAGAAAAAGGCGTGATGGAGGATGTACGGTGATTCAGAATAGGGTGGTGCAGGAAGATCACAGAATGGTTAGGGTTGGAAAGGACTTGAAGATTATCTAGTTCCAACCCCCCTGCCATGGCCAGGGACACAACCTGCAATGTCCATCCCTTGCAAAGATGCAGTGCCAATACTGTTGGTCCCAGTTAGATTTCTCCTAATATGAGTGTGTTACATGTGGTATCCAGGCTGTGACCAACTGAGCGGAAACTGAGTTATGTCCCTGTAAAACAGAAATGTGCAGGCCTCAGAACTTCGGTGTGGATTTAAGTCAGTTTGTCATTTGACTTGTATTTAGGGAATATTTTTAAATCAGGTGAGAATGCCAAATAAGCATCTGAAAGGACCCTCCTGTCCCTCCATCCCTGCTCAGGGGGGAAATGCAGTATGGAGACAACATCTGAAACCAACGAACTGCATTGACAAAACTGGCTTTTGGTTTATGTCCTATTTAAGAACAAAACATGACCAGCTTCTTTTGTTAATAATGAAATTTAGCTAGACCAAATGAGTAAGAAAGATAGAGTCCTGGTGAAGTTTTTCATGTACCTATCTAGGCTTTTGCCTAGCAGGGCAGCTACACCTGATGGGCCAGCTCTCCCTCTAAGGAGTGGATGGGGTCCCAGCATTCTGCATTTTCTTCTTTGTTGCTCTGGGTTATAATAGAAGCAGCCATGAATACTTCCAAGAGGAAATGTGGGTACTTGGCAGGACGGCTTTACCCCTAGCACAGTGGCTGTGTTGGGCTTTATGTTTTCTTTTTCTTTCTCCTTTTTTTTTTAACTCATTCTGCTTTAAGTATAACTCGGTTTGTTTGTTCCCGTCAAGACCAGTTTAACTTCAATAACCTGGTAGCAGTTTGAATACAGAAAGACTTTGTTAAAAGATCCACACCCTCACACACACAGTCCACATGCAGCCCAATGGGTATACACCCAGCTATTTTTTCATGAGCAGTAAACATTACAGCGGTCTTTCACAAAGAGCCTGACTTCTCATTCCTGATGGTTCTCGTGATGCTATTTTAACTCAAGAAATGGTACACAATAAAAAGCTTTGTGTTCCTATGAAGAGACAGAAAAACACCATTTTAAGAAAAAAAAACCCAAGCAGAATACTTGAAATAGCTGGTTTCATTAGGAGATGTAGCCTTCCAAGGAGCGAGCTTTCTTTGCTTTGCCATGTCTCAAAGAGGTAAGATGGGGCAAAATTGTACAAATCTAGAAATAGGATTCAGATCGCTCGCTCCTCCATTGTGTACCTTAAGCACAAACTCTGCCTCTACTCCACATCCCAAGAAATGGGTATATTGAGAGAAACTGAGGTAGTCTCAAAAAGCATTGAAGTAGCAGTAGCTGGGCCAGATCTGCTGGTAACATGGAGAGCTATGCCCACCTCTGCTGTGTTCTCTGGGATTCTGACCTTGGTGTGCATCACGGTGACAAGTATAGCTCAGAAGGCTGAAGTGCCAGTCCGGCAAAAGGAAGATATCCCCCCCCCAAAGGTGTTTTCGGAAACGAGTGGTTAACAGAGGACAGACAGCCTCTCAGGCACCTGCCATCTTCAACGAAAAACAGTATTATCCTTCTAATTAGCTTTTACAAATGCAAGAGGAACACAAAGCCTGCCATCGCAGGAGCGCCATCCAAAACCACCATACAGTTTGGTTTCCAATTTTGTCATTCCCCAGCTTGCACAAAGACCAATTTTCTGTCTGGTGTCTAAGCAAAGTAGAGGTCTTCTGTTCTGGACTCAGTTTTGCAAATGACCCTTTGGTCCCACAGGGCATATGTGTTTCTGTGTCTCTTTTAGTTATGTATTCCTTCTCCTTATAGCTCTGTAGGATGCTTTTTCCTTTGCACTTAGTCCTCCGTGTCCTCTGTTAGCGTTTTGTATTGCTGAGAGGCTCCTGTGGAAAGCATGTAGAATTTGGAGTGTGCACCTCCCTGGTGAACCTCAAACTGACGCTCAGGTGAGGTCAGTGCAGGGACCTTTGCTGAAGCATGTGCTGCCTCTTGGCACCTCTGGGTGCTGTTCAAGCTCTTGGCTGTGGTCAGTCTTCCGCAAGCATCTCAAGATCGTTGCAGGACAGGGGTGATGGAGGTGGAGATAGCTGGACCCTCATCCGTAGTGTGTAATGTGGCATGGAAGTGGCTGACCTGGTTTCTAGCCCTGCAATGTCCTTAGCCTGCAAGATCAAGCTTCTCGGAGTCAGCAGCAGCAGAGGAGGAATAAAGGAGGTTGTGATCTGCCAATTCATGCACCCCAAACCAATACTGCTAACAATTCTTGGAGAAGAGGGTATTTGTTATAAAATAATGGTCTTTTAAAATATACTGAGCAAGTTTTAGGGTTTTTTGGGATGGGAGAAAGAAACATTCTATATTTTTAAATAAATAGGTAAATACAAAATCAATTCACTCCCAGGAGTGTTTAAAGAGAAATGTAATCAGTCTGAATAGTGGTAACAGATTAACGGGTTAGTGAAGAAGGGCATAGAAGCTGTTTAGCCATGTCTTTTTTAAAACAGCTGCTCCTCACTAGCAGAATGTGCCCAGTGCTGTGGGCTTTGTGGGTAATTCTTTGATCTCTTTATCTTTCTATGTACTTTTTAGTTGGTTGTATTAAAAAGATATCAAATTGCCACTTGATAATGCTCATCCAAGGTTGTTACATCTAATTAAATGTGACGTTGTCACAGCTGGGTCGCACTACAAGTGGTTCTGTGCTATGGAATAAGGAAAAGAGTAATTTTATAGTGAGGGTGCTTGTTATGAGCAGCGAGGAGCGGTTTCAAAGAGGAATTACAGGACTGGAATAGACAATTTTGCATAGAGATTGCAGTTCCTATATGATAAGAGTTAAGAGTCCTTCAGCCTGCCATAATGCGTATTTTTTGCTTGCCATCTGAGTTTCGCTGTTGATACCCTTGAAGGCTGTAATGTGGTTTTGGATTTGCATTGGTGCTGCTGGGTACATGATGCTGCTTTTTTTTTTCCATTATCCTTTATTTCCTTTTCCTTCTCCCTGCTCAACCCTCACTTGGCTCTCAGCTCCAAACGACTGGATTAAGAGTAAATCCTCAACTTCCTGAATTTTAAAAGCCTTCCCCTTGTGATGAGCTCCAGACTAACCAGGATGGTTTTATGGTACTATGCCATTATATAACCAAAGGCCATAGTTTCTGTTTTTTAAGGACTGTATATTTACACTGGTCCTGGCAAAAGCCGCAGGCTACTTATCCCAGTGTGTGCCAGCTGACTGCGTAAAGGCAAGCAGCAACTGTATTTTGGGAGCCTTACTTTTATTAGGGCTTCTTTTGTATTTGTTCTTTTTCTCGTTGTGGTTCAGCTCTGATGACCGACTCGTTATGAGAGTTACTGTTTTTATTAAAACAGAAAAAGCCACTGCGGTTTCAGAGAAAAGTTGCAGATTTGGCTGGGGAGCATTCTAAAGTTGCTGGTCAGTGAAGGAGAGTCCAAAAAAACAGCTCTTTGAAACCTGATTCTGTGATTTCCCCTTTGGGAGGTTAACTGTAGGCATAAATGAAACTGTAAATATAAACAGGAGAGCAAGTCTTCGGGGGGAACCTGGTAGAATTACAGAAGAGTTAGGGTTGGAAAGGACCTTAAGATCATCAAGTTCCAACCCCCCTGCCATGGGCAGGGACACCTCGCTCTAAACCATACCAGCCACCTACAGTCTTTGTTCAGCTAACCCATTATAAATCCAGGTTTGTTTTGTGGAAATGAAGACACAGTAGTTTTTGGAGTGACAAAACCAAGGTGTCCCAGGGGTATGAACGATACAGTTCTGTGGAGGCGAGGGAAAAGCTGACTCAGTGCCTTGGCGTTCAAACCATACACAAAATAGCTCCATCTTCTGTGTCTTCCTTGCTGGAGGGCGATCCGGGAGATGAATGCCATGTTCTTGCTCTGTTTGCTTTACAGTATTTACATGTCTGTCTTGTAAAGACATGCTTGTGTCTGGAGGGCTGGGCCAAGGCTGTCCTTCCAGGGAGTACACAAGCCTGAGGATGTGTCTCTTAAAATGCCACTGATCAAATGTGGTGGTGGCAGATAAACCCTTTCAAGGGAGTCATGAGGCATAAAACTTAGGCACCACCATTGACGACAGTGACGTGCTGCAGGCTGTGGTTGTTCCTTGCAAACCTCCTGCCTTTCCAAGGTTTGTGACAGCTTAGCAGTCGGTTTGTAGTTGTTTCTGCTATTGCTCTCTGCTACATTACAGGTCGTATTGCCCTTGAGAAGCTAGGAAAAGGCATCCAAGAGGGTTGTTGACTTGGAAAACAGTCATGTTTCCTTTTTTCCCAGAAAAAAATGATCTTTTTGCTTTTGAATGTAATTTTATTTTCACTGTGTTTCCTGTAAAGTTCTGTGTGATGGTTTTTCAAATTGGATTTAGGAAAAAAGAAGCTTTTTCCTCCACCCCTCATTAGAGGAAATCATCTGCAGTTTGATGACCTATTTTCATTTATTCAAGAACTTGTGAGAAATTCTACCTTGCCTGAGTACTCGGAAAGGCTCTGAAAAACAGTCTGGTTTTTGAGATCATGGCTCTCTTTGTGTAAAATCATACTCAGTTTGTGGATTAGTCACCCAAGTAACCTAATCCATGTGCTGAAGTTCTCATATAATTGAGAAACACTAAGTAGAAGAGCTGGTTCAGGTTTTTTACTTTTAACTGCCCTTTATTTCCTCACCTTGCATTTTTATGTTATTAAATGCAGTACCCAGTGATTTAACCCTTTGATGTATGTTTTTTAAACGTACACATACTTTTAAACCTGATGGTGCCAACCACTACCCTCCTCACGTGTATTTGATTTTGAATGGTGGTATTTGGGAGATTCTGCATGTAGCAGATGACTTGAGGACTTTGTCAGTGAGGGTTTTTCCAGCGCAGACCTTCTGTAAGGTCTGGTTTAATTCTGTTAGGCTAAGGGCTACAGCTGATGGTTGCCTTGCATGGGTTAGCATAAGGCTAAGGTGACCTGCATTTTAAAAGTCTGTTTTGTTGCTTCTTTTTTCTTAACCAAGAATAACAGAGTTAATTGGATACCATCCAGAGGAGCTGCTGGGCCGTTCAGCATATGAGTTCTACCATGCCTTGGACTCGGAGAGTATGACCAAGAGTCACCAGAACTGTAAGTCATATACTTACTTGTCTTCATAGTTTGCGCATAAAGCACAGCTTACAGGTACCTCAGTAAGCAGTTGGAGATACAAATGTGTGCCAGTATTCTCTGAGAACAGTATTTACACTTGGTGACAAAACTCGCATGTCACTTTGCTTGTCTTGCTGAAACCTGCTGCTAATCTTTGCAAAGGGCCTGATTTTTGCCCTAGTTTAAACTTTGATGGTAGAGAGGAGAATCGCTGAAAAGCTGAGTTAGGCAGTACTGGCTTGGTGAGAAGGCTATTTACTGATGGAGTTATCTTTCTAGTGTGGCGTTGGGCTCAGCAGGAAAGAGCAGCTGTAAAGGGTAATAGGAAGGACTTGTTGCAGTGTAATTCTGAATGTCTGCCTTCTGCTACCAAATAACAACTGTCCTCCCCACCCAAAACAGATGTGCAAGGAGCCTCTCTAAAAGGGATATTCATTATACAAATAATATATACTGCCAGGAACAGCTGCTGCTTGTTATTATTATGCCTATGGGAACTGCCAGTTTTAGTTGGTTTTAATGATGGTTAGTGATGGGTTTACCTGAATTATTCTGGGAGCAGAAATGGGATCCAAGTTCTGCTCCCTCTTTTCAGCAGGCCATGCAGTGTCTCTTGCTCACAGAAGAGTTCTTTGAATTAGTCAAGTTTTCAGTGTCTGTCCTTAGTGTTGGTGCTATGGCTGGAGACAACACGGTGTGTTAATGTACAAATGACATTCCCACCCCTGGCTGTTTCAGCCATTGAGTAGTTACTGTATGCAAGAGTTCTCAGCAACAGATCACTAGAATGTCTGCTGCCACTTTCTGATAGAAAACAAAGCTCCTAGACTGGAGTCCACACGCTAAAAAATCCCTATCTTGTAGTTACTATGATCAAGATCTGTCCTCAGGAAAAAGCCCATAACTTAGGTCACGTCTATAGGGAATCATCCACCAAATAGACTTACAGAAAGTATTTCTCTGTTTCCCAGAGAAAAGTGGTAGCAAAGAATAACTGTGTGACCTTTAGGGGGAAAGGGAATATGCGTTAACTCCAATGGCAAGGATTCAGGACAATGCTGAGTTGAAACGTTGCTTGAAAGAACGTTTGGCAGTGATTAAAGTTGTGTGCTGTAAAACAGTGTTGGTATGAATCATCCTGTTTCCAGAGCTGCCTAAAAGAAAAAAAGAAATCAAACCGTACTTGCAGAGAGTTGTCTGGGAATGTGTTTGTTAAAATGGTTTCTTAGGTAATGTGTTTGTGTTTATAACAGTGAAAAGGAATTAGTGGTGTTCGTAGACGGGATGTCTGTATCCTGTGCTGGGCTATCTAGAGTCGTCCAGAGGAATCAGGGTGTGCTGCACTGTTGCTTTTGACTTGTTGAGTTGCATTTCTAAGAATGGGACAATGCCAGGGAAGGAATGACATGAGAGCTGGCAATCTCTTTGGTAACAGGAGAGAGATACCTTCATGGTTATCCCTATCTAGTTAATGAAGTGGGACCGCTGAGTTGGGACTTGTCCATCTTGTCCAGGAGTTGACTGAGGTTGCTCCTCCCTCAAGCCATTTAACTTGCCTCATATAGTGCAAAACATACGTCTATATGCCATTTGTGCTTACAGCCATGTCCTACAAGGTTTTGCTGTTGGGCATGAGGGCTGACTGAGAATCAGGATGAAAGCAAGAGAAAGTCTAGAGGGGCGAGTTATAGCAGCAGAAGTGCTCCAGGCACTGTGCACTGCACAGGTTATAAATATTTAGGATCAAACTGTGCCACAGTGTTTATGACAGCGCAGAGTCTTTGCTGTTGGAAGCACAGGACCAAAGTCTGTGCTCTGATAAATGCTGTTGCTGACAAGAGCCAGCAAATTTGACCCTTTTAGTTCTAAGATAAATACTTTACATGTCTTCTGGGTTGGTCAGGCTTCTTACCAACTCGGAGAACAACCACAAAGGCAAAGTGACAGCAAGCTGTGACTTGAGAAAGCACACATAAGCCCTCAGAATAAGAAATCCCTAGGTTTTGTAATGTGTGCTGTTTGAGAGCTTGTAACCAGGGTAACCAAGCAGGTGTGTAACTTACAGAGAGCTTCCTATAGCATGTAGCTATACAGAACTTCAGTTCTTCCTAACCATGGCCATTTATACATGGAAATATCCACTTCAAAGTTTGTGTTCAGCACACTTGTACTTATTAAACGATAACTTTTATTAGAAATATTAGAAATATGCCATGTATAGGGTATATATTCATTCAGTAACTCAGTCATCAATTCTGACAGTGCCAACCACTTAGTGTTGTAAAGATGCACAGGAAATAGAGGGAGGAGCCTGAAGTTTGAAGAGGGGGAAAGAGAAAAACCTCAAATGAGTCTCTTGGTTAGAAGCAGAAAGCCTTCCCTTTCCTTCCTTCCAATTTAGTGATAAATCATGCTGATTGCAATTTTATTACAATGCAGAGTTGTTATTTATTATGTTTATTATAGATTATATAAAATATATACATTATCATTTATTATATGAGGTGAAATAACCTCTTCAAGCAAGCAGCAATAAGATTTGTGTTCCTGGCTGGAAGTATAGTTGCATATAGAGTACCAGAGTCTTAATTAGTCACCATCAAATGGGAAGACTGTAGAGTGCATTTGGCAGTATTTATTTATCATACCCAGTTTTTCGTACGTTATGCAAACAAGATGAAAATCTGTCTTGTTACATAAATATACACCAAAGATTCACTGTAGAGCTATATTTTCCAATTCAGCAATTAATAATCTATAGTTACTTCCATTTAAGAGTGGTCTTGTTGCCATTAAAGCCAATGGGAATTTTGCTGTTGACTTCAGTGGGGAGCTGTATGTCACCATCTGGGCCTGCCACTTGGTAGCACTTAGCAGAAGTTTGCCAAGCCTTCCATGTGAATCATATTTTACACGTGTCTTGGCAATTGAAAACCAAGTTTTTGTTTTCCATTAAATTCATCCCTGCCTTTCCCCTTTTTCCACCCAAAGATAAGGAATATAATTGGAGCCTATTTCATTGAGACGTAATAATAAGAGTTCTGTAAAGATACAGACAAGGTAGGATTAAAAACAACCAAGAGAGAAGAGTGAGAAGTTCACTCTGAAGGCAGAACCTTAAATGCAGCATTGATACTAATATACTCATAACTGCTGACTTTGTTAATTTATGAGATTACCCCATGGAGAGATTCTGCTGTACTTTATTATATCAGAACATGACATGCTTTGAATAACAATAATAAAAAAGATTAAAGCAGTAAAAAGCTTCTTTGTAATATAACAGGCGCCTACACTGTGACTCTTATTGATGAGCTGACGATTAGGAAGCAGCGTAATTATGTTTCACAAGCAGAGCAGAACAGTCCAGTCACTAAAACACTCTGAAATGAAAGCCTTTTGATTTTGTTCCACCAGAAGTATTTAATCAATAAAAGTAATGTTCTACTTTGTCTAAATAAATTAAATGAAGGGTGATTAAATACTCCTAGGAAGAAAACAAACTTCAGAGATAGAAGGATAAACACAGCAACAGTTATCTACAAAACAGTTGTATTTCATGGGCCTGGGTTTGTACATTTGCATGGTGGCAATGTAGGAGAGACTGGCAATAAATAGTTTCCTTTAAAGGCCACATTCACAGGAAACTTTTCTGTATAAAGCCTGCAGAATTGAATTTCCAGCCCTACCAAGTCAAACTGGGTGTTAGTTTGATGGTGTAAAACCTGTTTAAAAGGAAAGATTGCTAATGTGGTCAGAGGTTTAGTTGAGCCAGTTCCCACTTTTGCTATTCAATATAACTGCCTCTTCTCACAAATGCAAATTCTTCTTAGTTACGAGTACTGCTTCCATATTCCAGCCTTGATTATATTGCCATTGATGAACAGTGTTTTTCCTCAGCTGACACATTGCCACAGTCAGGACGTCATAAAACTTCACATCTCGAAATTCCAAAGCTCCAGTGTCTTCAGATATTACAAAATATTGGAAGGGAGGTGGGATCCAGATCAAGCACATAGAGAATACAGTAATTCAGCTCTTTTACTGTGCTAGGCAAAACTGTCCCATTTACCATTCTTAAAAACATATGGAACTTAAGCATAATAGTATTTCTTCAGCCTCTTTAAGACCAACGCTGTGCTAGTGACACCTCCACTTTGCTTGTGATGTTGATGTCTCCATCTCTTAGCATTAAGGTATAAAAGAGACCTAAATCTATATAAAATATAAATTTATATAAAATATAGATGTATATATTTATAAAATATATCTATTTGTATCTATATATAAAATATAAATTTTTATATTTATATAAAATATAGATTTAAACCATAAGATTTTTTAAATTTTTTTGAGTGTAGCTTTTAAATCATTCTGACTCTTGGGCTTATCCAGCACCTAAATAAGAAAGGTATTAAATAATTGCCTAAATAAATTCACCTTCTTACAGGTCAACTTGGGAGCCCAAACTGAGGCACGCACTTCTAGAACAGGGACTCTCAGGAAACATGCAACCAGTGGGCATTATTGGGGGGGGGCAGTTGGGGTTGTACCTTAGATGTTTTAAATCCCACCCTCTGCTCTGAAGACTCAAGCTATCTCAGGAATTCAAATGCCAGAACTTGAATTTCCAACTTTGAGTGGAAATCTCAAATGAACAGCCCCTTTGGTATTCAAGATGGCTGAATCTTCCCCAAGTTGAGCATCCTTGATGACAAATATGATATGCAAAATTAAAACTCTGGAGCGGGTTTATTTAAAACAAGTGTTACTCATGGTATGTTCCTGTCCTGCTGAGTTATTTATATCTCTATGCTTCCTTTTCTCAGTGTGTACAAAAGGTCAAGTAGTGACAGGCCAGTACCGTATGCTTGCCAAGCATGGTGGATACGTATGGCTGGAGACACAAGGAACAGTGATTTACAATACACGCAACCTACAGCCTCAGTGTATCGTCTGTGTCAACTATGTGCTGAGGTAAGCTGTGCAGGCCACAAAAACCACATATGGAATCACGTGCTGGAAGAAATGCAGTAATCAGGAGAACTTTTGAAGGGTCTGTTTATTCAGTGTTGTTATTCTGAAATCAGTTTAGTCATGTTGGTTCAGTCTTGTTTACTGATGTTAGACATCGATGAAGAATGTAGCATGTCTGTTCCCATGCATGCTGTTGAAATGCACCACAGCCATTCTCTTCTTCAGAGTGGCTGCTGTGCTGGTATGAAAGTATAAAGCCTGGGCTGAAGATTGTGTTGTGTAAAACGACTGCTAACGTGTTCTGGTTTTGTAATGCTGTGTTAGAGAAAATTAAGTAGTAATTGCATTTTATATTCCTAGGAGAAACTGTTTACCGCCTCAAAAATCAGGACCAATCAGGAGTTTTGCCTCTTTTGCCAAACTCAAGTAGTTTTGGTCCTAGATGGGGCCAAAATAGGAAATACTTATTCGAGTGATAGTCTGGGTCACTATAGCCTCTACTACATCCCTTTAAAAAGCAGTGCAACAAAGCCCTGAGTATTCCCACAGAACTACTGACCACAGTCTCTGCATCACCCGAGATGGTGGTGCTCAGCAACGCTGGAACTGTGCCTCGCCTGCTGGGAGCCTGGCATGCCACCCAGAGAGGCCAAAATGCTTGTACGGGCCCCAGCTTTAGAAAGCACGTGCTGCCTATGTTACGTGCATCTTCTTGTTTTTTAGAGTGCAAAATGCTTAAAACCTGTTTTCTTGTCAGTGAAATCGAGAAGAACGATGTCGTGTTCTCCATGGACCAGACGGAATCGCTCTTCAAGCCTCACCTGCTGACGATGAACACCGCCTACGAGAGCAGCATCCCCGCAACAGAGAAGAGTGACTTCTTGTTTACTAAGCTAAAGGAGGAACCAGAGGAACTGGCTCAGCTGGCACCAACACCCGGCGATGCCATTATTTCCCTGGATTTTGGTTAGTGTTTGTATAAATAATTTTTGCACAACAAAGAACTGTGTGTGAGCCTACATTTATAGAAACTTTATAATAGGCAAGGTCTGTTTGCTGTGTGCACAAACTGGGAGTAGTGTCTATAAGAGCCCACATGCTCACACCAGTGGAAAATTTCTGTGAATGGGAGCAGATTCAGGCTTTCTTGCTGACTAAACAACATGCATTAAGTCAATGCCAACTTATTGTCATGGCAACTAGGAGCAGTGTTTACTTTTAATGAATAGCTGCAATTATATCATAACATAGACAAGCTAAAAGCGTTCATTAATATTGTTAAAACTCCATCCAGGGACACAGAAGTTTGAGGAAGCCCCTGCCTTCCCCACTGCTGTACTGACACCAAACAAAGCATGGCCAGTGGAAGTGAAAAACCACGCTGCTCAAGGTGAAACACTGACAATACCATCCTTTACAATGCCTCAGATTGCACCTGGCAACAGTACTCCAAGTGCAAGCAGTAACAGTAGCTGTTCCACGGTAAGAGGAGCTATAAAAATAGATGCATGTTATATTGTGTATATAAGTCCCATCACTATATGTAGATGATGTTTTCATCTTAGCAGTCCTGTGTCATTGCTTATTAACAAGGACCAGTGTATCTATATCCCTCCTGTACTGTGTGTATCTTCAGCACCAGAAGCAAAAACATCGGATGGGAACTACACCCTGCCTTTACATTGCAATCCCCTTTTTCTTTCAGCTGTTCCTCAGTAATTACTGTAACTTATAAGACAAGTTATAACAACATGCTACCTTTCATGAGTTAGCCTTAAACAAAAAGCCATTGTAAAATTGTGTTGTCACTAGCACCACTGTTCCAGACCCCTCCTCTTTCTGTTTGTTAAGTAGAAGCTATAGTCTTTGGAAAGCTTACCCAGCTCAGGCTTTTGAGAGCAGCTCCACTGCATTCCCCACTGAAAGAATGAATGTGTTTTCAGGGCATTGCCCCCCAGGTCTGGAGCCACTCTTAGCTGGCCTTTACTAAAGGATGTCCAGTGATGATAAAGGCATGGAGGTATTGCTGTGCATCTCCCTTCTTGACAAAAACATTTATAATGTACATTTCATGTTTCTGGTCTGAGTTGCCAAAACAAAACCCAAACCATTTAAACCAAGAAGACAATTAGGTTCCTGTATTGGGTGCCTGTGTTTTGTAGTGACCAGTACTGTGTTGGGGAAAACAATACAATAGAAGCAGACAGTTTTGGGTTCTGAGGACACTATGCATACAGTCTGCTCATTTCCTTTTCATAGGGAAGATCCATTACTGAACAGTACAGTGTATACAGCATGATGCTAAACCAATACTATGGTTGTCTTGCTTGCTTATGGCAAATTCTTATCTCTGTGCAGCCAAGCAGCCCAGGAGATTATTACAGTTCTGTGGATGAAGATCTGAAGATTGAAGTGATTGAAAAACTTTTTGCCATGGACACAGAATCAAAAAGCCAGTGCACCTCACAGGTAAGGAATTAATGTCTCTTCCAACAGCTGTAAAGATCAGTCCTCTGCTAGTAGGTGGTACAGACATAGTGATATTACACACCAACTGTACTTGCACATATACATCAAAGCTTTGATGCACAACACTAAAATTCATTCACTTTCAAAAGCTGGGGTGTAAATTTCTATCCCTAGCTCTGAAGCAGGTGGTTTAGGCTGTCACTGTGGTGGCACTGATAAAGCTCTCTGCTGACTGTTTTTTTTCCCCTTAAAAATCTGGAAGCTTCTGTAGACTGGATAAGGAAAACAAGCAGCAACAACTTCTTTTAACCTAGCTTAATGACGAGGGTAACAAGTAAACATCCTAGAACAAAATATAAATAAACTAATTCTTGCAAAACATTACAATGAGAAAGGAATGTCCCTCCATAGCATGTATCTCCTTTAACTACAAAATGCAAACTGGCATTTTGGATATATTGTTCTTGTTTTACCTCTTGAAAGATTTCAGAGCCATGTGACAATTCCTTGCATGTAAAATAAGGTATAGTCTTCATCTCCTGTATTCTATCAGGGTGTAAGTGTGGAAATTCCCTCTACAAATGAATTATAACATTGCATCAAGTGAGCTAGTGAATAGAAGGCATAGGCCTGATTTGGCCCATCTAGCTTTAGATACTTAATTAAAATGCCTTTGTTAAGAGCTTATACTTTTTTATAAACAAATTGGCTCTTCTCCTTCTATTAATCCTATGGAAAGTTTGGGTGCTGGGGCCCAAATGAGGTGCCTCCCTTTGTCAGTGCAATTGCCAGACTTTGGTAGGCTGTAGTCCATGTCCTGAAGAAATTTCATCTAATGGACATAAACAGAAATGAAAGCTGTTTCAGTAATAGAAAGAGTGGACAGAGAGGGGGGGGAAATGTGGATCATGATTAAACTGAGTGCAAGACGTGACACTGGAAACTTGAGTTTTGTCAGGTTCAGCATCTGCTTGCTCACGTGTGTGTCCCATCACATCAGCAGCTTTGGTGGGAAAAATGAGCATTAGAAGCATGCACCTGTCATGAGCTGACTGGTGAGCCAACATTGATTTCCCTCTCTGTTCAAAGGCCAAGAGGAATGCATTTAAATGTGACTAGTTCTCCAGGGGAAAAAAAATACATGGATTTAAGTGCAATAGTGCCTTCTGACTAAGTTTTTTTAAAACATTTGCATTTTTTAGATGCATTTTTTCCTGTAGCTGGATTATGAGGAAGCTCCGTTTTCTATTTTAGCATGAAAAAGCCTGAGGTTGAACTGCACACCACATGTTGTGGAGTCTTGGCAGACAAATTATTCAAAACACACTGAAACACAAGATCTACCTCAGATCATGCTGGTGCTGCAGGCTGCATACAAGATGCTTTAGCAAATACTGCCTAGCTGGGAGGGGTTTCTTCTTCAGGTTGTTGTCTTCGCTACTGATGCCACGAAGAACACGTATACTAGTCACAGAATTAAGACATGTTCAAGGAGGAGTTGGCCAGTTTCATATGGGTAAATTTGGCATCAGTGATTGTTCTGCTTCACATCTACGTGTATTCCTCATCACACGAGCTGCCACAACCATTATAAACTTTTATGAACTTTATTTTTGTGCAGACTGACTTCAATGAACTGGACCTTGAAACCTTGGCTCCTTACATTCCTATGGATGGAGAAGATTTCCAGCTCAGCCCAATCTGCCAAGAAGACCGTCCTCTCTCTGAAAGTGCACAAAATACCCAGCAGAGTCTAAGTAGCATGAGTACCATCTTTCAACCCCTTGCTTCTGCTTCACAGAATCAGTTTCTCCCAGAGAAATATTGCCCACAGCTATCAAATAAAAAAGTGAATCCTGGTCGTGGGTCCCTGTCATCAGTGTTCTTCAACAATATGAGCAGGTCATCACTGCCACCGTACCATGACCAAGCCAGCACTCCCTTGTCTTCGATGGGAGGAAGACCAAACACACAATGGCCACCTGATCCCCCATTAGAATACATCCCTTCTAAATGGAGACTCATGGATAAATACTCAGGATCCCTATCAAGTTCCCCCTCAGGACCACCAATACATTCTCCAAATATGCCCATATATAAAAAAAGGTAAGAGTTTTTGTGGTATATCTATTTATTTTACTAAGATAAATGTGGGAGGGGAGATGAGAAGGATCATAATCTTAATTCTTTTTCTCAACTCAGCTGGAATAGCTGTTTTGCTAGGCATCAGACTGTGTCTCTGGGGAAGTTAGTGTGGTGCTCTCCCAGTAGCAATCAGTCTGGTAGAAGCAGAAGTGGGCTAGTTTTTCATTGCCTATAAGGACACACAAATGAACTTTCTGCTGGGCCCAGTAAGCATTACCCCAATAATTCTGCACAACCTCCTTTATGCAGTTTAAGAGAAGTACTGAAAAGGCTTTACTGTGCCAGCAGTAAGTTGTGACTCATGCATACTTTCTTACCTTGCCTATTTTTTTTTGCACAACAGAAAATAGGGGAGAGGAAGATATGACAGTACACTTAGTGCTGGTTTATGGAAATGCTACAACTAAGATTTAAAATGACAGGCTTTCTTTCTACAGCCCTTCCTTACCTTGTTCACTTTCTTAGGGAGTTGAACAGTACATGATGAGATGTAGATCAGAGGCCACAGTCCTAAAAGCTTCTATGATAGCAGGTAGTTTCGCTGTAGCTCTTGGGTCCTCAGTGTTGAACCAGGCAGGAAGTACGTCAAATGGCAGTCATCACTTTAAAACGTGAAGCTGTGCAGTTTGCCTGGTTTGCATTCTGGGATTTCTTGTTGGCAGAAATACCAGTATCTGAATATGCATCTGTAAAGAGAGGGTTTGTCCCCAAACAGCAGCCTGCATGTTTGTATTTAGTATGTAAAGCAAGGGGACAGGTGTGGCTCTCAAAATCCTCACCTTAAAAATCACGTGACTTTCTTTTCCACAGCATCTTTGTGTCTGCCTGGAGCTCCCTAGAGGCTGTTTATGTTAGACTTCCATTAGTCCTTGATCCCAAGAGTCAGAAGCTTCCAAAGCTTGTAGGATGACTAACAAAAAGAAGTAAAAACATTTGGGATTTGAGGTCTGTCCACTGCCATGTGTCTAAAGACACCTTAAATGTCTTTAAATGAAAGAATGTGTAGAAGTGAACAAGACAGTATAGATTTGCCTCCTGCTCACTCACCCAGACATCTCTACTCCACAGGCCTTTGGATGCTTTTGGGCAGCGAGGCATAGATGTAAACCCAGCAAGAATTGCTCTGGCTAACAGTTTGAAATTGAAGCGGCAACTGGATTATGAAGAACAAGCATTACAACAGCTGAGTGGGGTAATAAGAAATACATCTCCTTCACAAGCTTTGGACTCACCATAGTCATCGGTTTTGATTATTTGCTTTGCTTTTCTTCATGTTCTAGGGAGATCCATCTGTCATTAATTCATCTCACCTAATGTGGAAGAGAATGAAATTTCTGAAAGGGGAAAACTGTTCCTTGGTTACAGAAAAGAAATCTCTCAGCACAAGTGTTCTTACTGGTAAGACAAAAGAAAGTGGTTTTGCCATGTTAAGTATTGAAACACAATTTTAAGACAGGCTTATAGGAAATTAAGCTCTTTCAGAAGGAAATGTAAATAAGCTGTGTAAATATTACATTAAGCTAAAATTAAAGATCAAGTTGTATCACTAAGAGTTGAATAATTTAAGGTACATTTAATAAATACCAGGTAGATGGTTTCATTCATGTTCACATCCTTGCTGTGGATGTAACAGAGATCAGCTTAATGGAGATGGTCTGGCTTCATGCTGATTGGAGATGCAGACATCTCAGAGCTAAAACTGATACTTTACAACATTGTGTTTCCTTACACACAACCCTATCTTGTATAGTAGGTCTATTACAGAACTGTACAGCTAGTGCTGTTTGTGGACTTCTTTTGTGACAAGCTGTAGGTGTGCCCACACTGTGTGACCATCACAGCAAGGATCACTTTGATCTGAATTAATATTATCTATTAATTATTACACTGGCTTAACTTTTTTCTTCCTCCCCTATTGTGTAAATCAGATGAATTTGTCTGTAATTCGAGAGGCCTGAGCCAACCAATGAATCAACTACAGCAGCAGCAGCAGCAACCAACCTGTGGCAGTCCTGGCGAGAATTTGAAAGCAGGAGCCTTTCCCCCTCCGTTTTACAGTTCCCATTGTCAGGACTATGCTGTCCAGCCAGCTCATAAAGTGTCAGGTAAGAGCTGTCAAATACAGAAGTTGGAAAATGTTAGTACTTAGTTCCAATGTTGATTTTATGGAAAAACACACTTAAACAATAATAGAGGAGGCTGATAAACTAAGAATCAAAAATGTGTTGTTTCATAGCATGAGAAAATAGTTTTGTTTAGTGTGAAACTGTAGGGATTACATTTGTTATATATGAGGAAAAGACGTTTTGGCACTTCATTTCAGTTAAACTTAACTTTTTACCTTCAAGGTTGAGTCATCCTCCATCCATACTCTCATCATGTGATACAATTGATTAAACTGTACTAAGCAACTTAACTGGAGCATTGATACAGGATTTTTGTAGATTAGTCTTGACAGTCATATAAAAGTTGAAATAAGTAGTTAAAGGGGACATACATACATGTCCCTTTTAATATATAAGGGGAGTGAGTGTCAAATTTATAAACCGTGTATTTACCACAGCTTTCCTCATCTGCACCAGTGTAATTTTTACCAGAGCAATGTAAATTGGGGGTAGAAATGAAAACCTCCATGTGTCCCATGTTACATGCTTGCAACAGTTAAAGGCAGAGCCATGCATAGGCTTGCTCTGAAACTTCTAACTGCTGGTGATTTGAGGCATATTGATATATAAACAAAATGAAATGAGAACTGGTATAAACAGAAGAAGGATGAGAGGAAATGTCTCAGCACCATGCCTTACTTCTCCGATCTCTTCCAGGTATGACCAGTCGTCTGCTGGGGCCTTCCTTTGAACCCTACTTGTTGCCTGAGTTGACAAGATATGACTGTGAGGTGAACGTCCCTGTTTTGGGCAGCTCTACGCTTCTGCAGGGCAGTGAACTGCTCAGAGCGCTGGACCAGGCAACCTGAGCGATCCTGCAGTATTCCGTGGCCTATACTGTTCAAAACAGCTTCAGTTTTTAAATATATTTTTGCAAGTAGACAATTTCTAATACAAATACACTTTTACAGGATTTTACTTAGATATTGAACCTGTCCACATTACCAAATAGTGGCCTTTTGAAGTTACTCACTTTATTATTCATATTAAAGAAATACATCTACTGTATTTTCTCTATTGCAATTAAAGTGTTGTTTAGAGAGTGATTACCCTCCCCCTTGTCTCATGACCTGTAATTTATATGCTGAAATTTGCTGCAAATTTCATGCTAATAAAAAGCTGTGGTAGAAATGCCTCATCCTGCGATGTACTTTGGCTGCAGCAGTGCAAAGATTTCTTTTTATTGCCAAAGATGATTGAAACAAGTTTGATCTCCAACCACAGCTTTTTGTTGATCTGCCAAATTGAAATCTTCTGAGTCTGTTTTCCAGCATTTATTGTATTGTAACTTTAATAACGTTTGGAAAAGCATACTAAGGAAAAATCCCAGCCTTCTGCCCTTCTCCCCCTTCCTTTTGTTTTTATACTTCTTGTTGAAAGAAATGTGAATGGTGAACTGCAATGTTTGTGGGTATCTGTGAAAGTTGCACGTTGTAAGCTTTTTTTTCCTCAGAAGCAAGCCACATTCTCAGCTGCCTTAACCACCTGGCTTAGCTCTACAGCCGAGGGAGTCCTACAGATTTACCCCAGTGGAGGATTTAGACCTGTGATTTCATTTGTTTGGGGTTTGGGTTTTTTTGCTTTGTTGTTTCCTTTTCCTTTTAATTTCTCTCTGGGTCAGTTGTTGATCATCTCTTGGTACTTTTGCTGTATCTAGGACACTTTAAGAGCTGTTTCTGATAAAAATAGTAGTATTTGTTATGGTGTTGCTGATATTTCAGGAATCTGACCAGCGGCCAGTACTAACACCTCTGATTAATGTTACACTTATGCCATCTTATATGCTAGCTAGCAATATAATTGCAGTATTGAATCATTAAAACTAAGTAATATTTCCCAGGCTATTAGGCTAACTCAGTTATAATTGAGGATTGTATAGCGAGATTGAACAGCTGGCAGGCAGGTTTGTATCATTTTTACTTGCCTTACATTAATCAGTAGTTGAAATGTCATTAAAAGGTAGCCAGACATTTCGGAGCTCTTTTCCAACTACCATTTGTTATGCATGTATTTAAAAAAAAATAAGGCTTTGAATGCATTCAAAGGCATTTTGAAGTTTGAATTACAACATATTTAAAACAGCAAAAAACCTCTTTTAAAGGCAGGTGAGCAGTTCTGACTTTAAAATACATACAGACCTAGATCAATGTTGGCATATACCACCTTGTTTCCTCCACTGGTATAAATCATTGTAGCTTCATCGAAGAAATGGAGCAGTGGCAATGTACAAAAGGTAAAAATCTGGCCTAGAACCTTAGAACAAAGATAGATATTGAGACTTCCGACTGCGCTGAAGCCTGGTTTATAAAATTGCTTTGTATCATGCACTGATGCTTGCAGAGAGGGAGCCTTGGGTTCATAGAGCACTTCAGAGTTCACTGTGTTAAGCGAGTCTTAACCACACATACTTAAAATCTTAACTTAAAATCATAGCTTAAAATCTTTTGCTATTGGTACATAATATAAAAAAATCTGGTAGTCCTTATTGTAGGCAATGTTTTGAGAGTTTATTACCAAAAATAACCTGCTCCTAAAGTGACATTATTACCATGTGGGAGAATATATTGTAGGCATCAAAACCTGATGAAAATTGGCAAGCCAGCTTTGACAAAGTTGTAGTGGCAAGGACTTCATGCTTCAAGGATTAAAGACACTTGAATCGCGCTCTTCTGTTTCTTATTTGTGTAGTTTCAGCATTAAAAATGTTATACCCTAACAGTTTACTAAAACACTCTGAAAAAATATTCCATGTCTTAATATTAATCATACTTTTTATCATAATTATTTCATAATCTATATTGCTGAATTCTTATTGACAATATTATAACTGTATGGGAACTTTAACTTGATAAGGAAATGTATTTTGACACTGATACCTTATTAAAGTATACTGATCCTAAATTCTTTGTGACTCGTTTGCTATGAATTTGTTATTTGTTGTATCATTGTAAAACAAAAGTATTTATTAAATTATTTATAGAAAATAAAGGTTTGCATTGATCTTTGAAGAATGAAAGAATGAACAAAAGTTACCTGTGTTTGAGAGCTGGGAAGTACCACCAAGCTGGTTGAAGAGTTTGCTCAGCTTTCCTCAAATGGAGAACTAATGCCCTGCAGGCCACCCTTCTGAAACACATCCTGTGGTCCAGACTGCTGCTTCCATTTCCTAGGTGTGTTTCTGTCTGAGGACTTGCAGGTGCCTCTTGCATGTTACCCTTAAAAGAAAAAAAATGGACAAAAATTCCATTTTAGAGGCTGAATTGCCACAGTTCCCTACTTCAGTTCCTGTGTCATAACCTATCCTATTCTGGCAATCCTCAAGCCCTATTTAAGGCCTCTGCTTCACACCCCCCCATCACTTTATTCCAATACTGCTGCTAAACATGCCAATCCTTTTCTCTACAGAAATTACCACTTTTGCCTATAGAATCATAAAATAATTTGGGTTGGAAGGGGCTTTAAGGATCATATAGTTCCAACACCTTCCACTAGACCAGGCTGCTCAAAGCTCACCTTCTCTGGGCAGCTTGTGCCAGCATCTTGCCACCCTCACAGGAAGCAACTTCTTCCTAATTTAAACCTACCCTGTTTCACACTAACACCACTGTTCACACTGTAGGAGGACAGACACATCAAGAAATTCATCTCCAAACATACATGCACTTAAATTCAGACTGGACTCTGCAGCAGCTGTTGGTGCTTGACCCTTCTGATAACTGCCTTTGAGACATGCAGTGCCCGTAAAGACACCACTGAGCTGCTCAACAGCAGTGAATCTTCTGAATGAGCTGCATTAAGTGGCTATCATCCCCTCCTTTTCTACACGGGATGCTCAGTAGGAAGAGAAAGAAACCGCTTGCTTCTAAATCTGTTGTAATTAACAGTAGTCACAACACCCATCAGTGAAGAGTGAATAGCCGGTGTGCCTCTTAATCTCCTTTTTAAAGCATCCCATTGATCTTCAGGGCACTTGGACAAAGACGAACTCAGCATGCCAGATCCTAATCCAACTGAGGGTTAAAACAATGACAACCAGCCCATCTCTTAAGCAGAGATTAACCTGTTCAGACCACTTTCAGCCTTTTACAGGTTGTAATCACTAAACTGCTAAATATAAAACAATGCTGCAAGGCATTATTTTTGGGGGTACCCAAACATAGCTTATTGCTAACACTCATGCTGAAGAGCTTCCGGCTCCCCAACTTCAAATTGCTTAAGGAACACACTAGTCATGCCTTCAGCCGTGATGTTTTTTTCCCCTGTCTACAGCTCAATATTTCTCACATCAGTGCATTTTAGTGTGCTTTTTCCCTTACACATCTGGACATGGCAATTTACATATTTCAAAGAGCCAAACCCTGGCCAGAAACATAATACATAGATTCTATCAACAACCAGGTTTTGTTCTGCTGAACAGGGATTTATTACATTTTTCTAAAAACTGATTTCCCCTCCCAGTAGACCAGAAGTGCTTAAAATTAAGCATACATCATCTTTCACTGCCTAGAAGCACCATTTCTTGGCATCAGACCTTGTATCTCTAACAGCACAGCACCGATCCCAACTAAGTTGTTCAACACTCATTACATTCTGCTGAAAAACCAGGCAGTTTTGCCAAGCTCTCATAGCTTGGGCTGGTCTCAGTCTCTGGCTGATCTTCAAGTCATACCATCCTTTCAAAATGATCAACACAATGCTTTTTCTAGAGCACAGATTTCAAGCAGGTAAGAGTCACGCTGTTATTGAACAAATGATTACAGCAACCAACTGTAGGAAATTCTCAGTATCCTGGTATATATTGTGATTATTAAATAAAACTACAAAGAAAACCCCAGATAAATTGAAGGGAAGTCCAGCTATCATTTCAGTCAAGACACCAGTCCCTAAGCAACACATAGATCCATGGACAGTAGGTGATTCATCACACTTGCTTGCACCAGTAGGCAGAGACATGAAAACTCTCTAACACACAACTATTCCAATTCTAGATGAAGGTTTCATGCGTTACTTCTCCCTGAGGAGCTTTATAAAGCTATTTACAGACATGCCAGATAAATAAATAAAGAGCTACAATAGAGCATGGAAATATTTACATACATTGAAATAAACAGCATTATTTTCTTCCTTCCTTTCCCTTCCAACTCTTAGTATAGGCTTCCCAAGAAAGGAACAAACAACATCTGTAAAGAAAACCGTAACTCTATTTTCTTAGGACAACAAGAATCTGTCACAAGCCCCAGTTCTGCTCCCTTAGCACAAGCCAACACACAGCACAACAGCTGCCTTTTGGTTATCTGGGGCTGTGTCCAAGCTCACCCATGCCCACAGGGACAGCAGGCTTGGATTCCTGCTTGCCCAAGCTCTGTTCATTGCTGTTGCTTTCCTTGGTCAATTCAAGCTACAAAAGCATGGCAGGAAGGCTGTAGCAGTTGGTATGTACCCCGTTTTTGGGTGTTCACATTAAAACTGGCTTCAAATTTAAAAGTGCTACTTTTTTAGCTACTCAGCTCAGAAGCACCACCACCATTCCTTTTGTCTCAAAGCCAGCCTGCGGTTCTGGCAGCTTGGGATGTGCCACAGATCTCACATGGAACATTTTCCTTGAAGAAGTCCTCAATTCCTATAATCAAGGAATTACTTAATTCTCTTCAGCCACACCTCTCAGTTAGTAATGTAGTTAAGGTGCCTCACTAGGGAACAGAAGCACATGCATAAACCTGGCTTGCAAAGACTACCTGCAAGCCAGCCGGCACCAGCTCCTATGCCTGACACTGGACAGCAACAGGGAGCTGGAGGCACCAGCAGCTGCATCCTCCCTCCTGTGCTATCATCTGCTGTGGAAACTGATGCATCTTAACTACAGTGGCTGTGCTGATGCTTGGGGCGCATCTCAGAAACACAGCTCCCCTTAGCTTCATTACAACAAGAAAAATAAGCAACTCCTCAAACTCCCTACTTTAAAAGCACGTGTTTAGACCTTGGAATTACAGGCAAAGCTGGCAAGTGAGATCCTCAAAGGCAACTGCACCAGTAAACACGGGTGAAACCCCCAGTTATAATTACATGATTTTTAAGCTAATGAGTTCTGCCTGTTGGTCTTTGAAGGGCAGGCACTGGCTGAATTCTGCATGAAA